GAGCAGTCCGCACTATATTCAGATTACAGACATGGGCTTCGTGTGCAGTGGTTCTAATCTGCTTGTTTTTTTCCCTCTGTTCTGCTAGGATGTTCAGCGAGGAGAAAAGGAGAAATACAGACAGCTCTTGAAGCTGATGAAGGAAAAATACTTTAGAAGCCGCCCTAATCCACAGCCGACAAGCCTTCTCAAGTAACTATAGGAAAAATAGCTATTCACTTTTTGGTGGTAACTTTGTAGCTCTTGTACATGGAAGTGGAGGGGAATTCATCTTTCCTGCTCTCAGGGTTCTGGACAGTGTCCCAGGGCAGGTGTTGGGGCAAACTAATTTTTAAAAGACCGACACCCCCCCTTCAGCTCCCTGCAATGAAGCATGAGTATTCTCTGAATGTAATTCTAAAGGTGATGATTCCTTTGTTGATATGGATGTGTTTCTCTTTCTGAGAATCTTGTCTCTGTGTTAAGAAAGGTAGTGTCTAGTTCTAGTGCTGGCAGTGTAACTTCTAGTAGAAAAATCCACAACACCAGGTATTCTGTAGCACCATTAAAAAGAATTTATCTTCCTCTTGTTTGCAATTGATGGGTTTTTCCTTGGTCAGGAATCTTCTTTTATCTGAGAATGTGAAACTTAAAGGTAAACACAGGGAATGCCAGAATTTTATCTGTTCCTTTCCACCTCCCCGAGTCGTTCTCACACAAATTATAGGAAGTTTTCTCTTTGCACTAAGTTCACAAAATCCTACTCACGTGCAGAATTCCAGTTCCTAAAGCAACCTGCAGAGGGGAACTTGTGTGTAATTCTGATTCATATGTTACCAGTGATGAGTATATTCGATACCTGATAACTGTGTCAAGGGATTGCACGAAGTTAATGCCGCAAGTAAAAAAACACAAAAATAATAGAAGCCGTTATCTTAGTTGAATAATTACACTTCAAAGCTGTGCAAAAGGGGCCTAATTCTTGTAAAATAGCAATGCCAAGATGGTGCTGAAGTTCCAGTGTGCCTTTCCACCCATTAAGATAGTAGAAAATGTCATGCTTTCTTGCAGTTTCCGTTAAATGCTGTGAAACATGGGTAGTTACCAAGGCTTAGAAAAATTCCCATCTCCGCTCGGTGGTTCACAGCTAGAAAACATGTAAACACACGACTGCAGAACAGCATATCATGTTTAAACATTCTGGTGCATGAAAATGGTACGGAAAACAGTATCTTGTGTACTTTTAGGTGCACTGTCAATAGCAGTTTAGGGTGGGCGAAGACTCTGGTTTTGGCATCTGATCTTCCAGTCGTTGATTATTGTAGTTTGACTCATGTCTCCGAGCAGACCTTGAGCATGTGAAACAGATTCCTTTCAGATGAACCTAAACCAGAGGGAGTCCCTGTGGAATGTGTCTAATGCACTCCGACTGCTGATGGGCATGTAGTCCCTGAGGTCAGAGTAGAGCAGGTCTGAAGTAAAACATCCCAGAAGTATGTATGTTGTGTACATTGCATTCTCAGTGTCAGCATAATATTTAATAAGTGGATTGAAAAGAATTGGTCAAGGATGGTTGTAATGAATGCTGTCTTGTCCCATAAAATAAAATGGCCTGCTCAGGTTAATCCAGGTATCTGTAGGATGTGCAAAGAATATTTTTTCTTTTGAAAGAAAAACTGAAAAAGCTACTAATTTGCCAGGGAAAAGGTAAAGGAATCAAATTTCATGATTGATTCATCTCTTTTGAAATTCTGAAGAGACAGAAAATTTGACTCCTGTATCTTCAGTAAGCCCGAGGTGAAAGTAGCCAAACTTCGGAATGTAAGCTGCCTCTGCATGTAAATGCCCTTTGCGTTTTGTCATGAAATCTGTGCAGGAGACAGGATGTTTCTGTGAAGGGATTAAACAACCTGATTTTACTTTATACGTTCCTATCACTTTAACCGTGGCGTCCAACTCTAATGTAGATGGCTGTGTACGAATAAATTGTGTCCTTTCTAGTGAATTGGTATGCACTGATAACAAATGTCATACATATAAAAACTGTGGTTCTTCTCTGTTATTTTTTGCTGCACCAAAGTGTTCAAGCCTACTCCAAGGCACCAGCGATGACTGAGGGTCACCTGGAAGAACAGAAATATGGAAGAGATGTTTATCCACGTACAATACCAAGGACCAGTGAGTATCCCCGTGATTCATGTCTGTTCGACTTCGTAGGTAGACTTGAGATCAGCACGGGGCATTTTCTTAAGTCTGGAAAGTACAGATTATGCTAAAACGATTTGTCAGTGCTAGTGTATCATTAATCTGTGTCTGTTTGTAAGGAAATCTGAATCAGCCAGCATGTTTATGCTAGTATAGCTTATGTCAGCGCTTAGAATGAAATGAGCTGTCTCTGGAAAGAAAGGGGGGTGGGGTGGGAAAGAGGGGGGAAAAAACCCCCCACACCCCCCCCAGCCCCACCATAGCTAGTTATTGGCTAAAATGGCTTTGTAAGGTTTTTGTTCAGGTGAAAAAGTCTGTTTAAAGTCGTACTTCAGAGACGTTACTGTAGCAGTGATGCTTGTAACTGCAGATGTAACTGCACTATATGGGAGGACGTCATCGTATCTGGCTGTTTGTACTAGAGAAGGGTGAGACATTACTGCACACCCCAAGATGCCCGTTACTTAACTCAGTTGTGGTTATGTGTTACTCTTTCATCCCCCTTTAATGCTATACAGAACTATTTCTATGATAGCACAGCTTTGAAACCAAGTAAGCTAATTGCACGCTATCACTGTTTATCTCAAGTTAACTGCTTCAGTAGATCATCTCTCGCGAGCTGAAGATCCGTAACTACGGAAGGTGCCCTGAGTTTTCTTCTGCAGAGTGGGCTAGTTAAATTGTTTTGCTGATGAGCTATTTTCTTTTGTAGCAGCAGTGTGTTATAACACCATGTGTTCATGGGTATATGTTTCATATTATCCCAACCTTTTTTTCCTCTGTTCATTACGTAATTTTTCATCAATACTTCTTTTTACATATGTGTGACTATTACACAGTCATAGGGGTTTTCTTTTTCTGAGCGGCTGCTAGAATTTGGGGGAAAGCTTGTCTTGTCGTGGAAAATGACAAGGTATTCTTCTGAGCCTGGAGGACCATCTGGTTTGCAAACATCACTTCTTTAGTTCAGTATGCAATCTAGGATTTAAAACTTCATAAATGCCCTGCTTCAGCTCTGATACACCTGCACATGATATTCAGAGTTCCAGCTGTTCGCCAGAGTTTGAACTTCCTAAACATACAGTTGTCACTAAAGGTTTTTTTTTGTATTTATCCCCCAGAAACCAAGAGCTGTGTACATCTGGTGGTAATTCAAAGTTGACTTCTTGTTTTCATGGTACTGCTTTTCTGTGCAGGTATCAAATGTGCAGATGTTTGCAGCCCACAGCCGTCTCAGAGAACTGATGTGATCAGGTAGAGTCTCTTTTAAACATGGTTCTTGTTTGTTTTGGCTCTGTGCGTGTGTCTCAGCCTCCGGTAGTGTCCAGAAGAAGACAAATCATATTGATCATCTCAGTACTGTCAAAGAGGAGTAGCTAGCTTGTGGCTCTGGAATTGCTCACAAGCCGGTTGCATCTCAGCTACAGCTCCCATGCTAGAGCCGTGCTCTGTGACACGCGGGGTTGTGCGGGTGTGGTGTTGTCTGTCTGCTTTGCTGGGAGGCGAAAGCCAGTGAGGGGGAGAGTGGTGGCCGTACCAAGTTGTCCATGGGTTTGCCGAATTAATTTTTGCTTATGAGTCTCCTTCTGCCTTCTCATGAGCTGACATTTCATTTCTTTCACTTTGAAACTAGGATCCTAAGCATAAGGATTAGAGAGCTTGTAAAGCCTGGTGGGACTGAGGCAGTTTTTGTGACTTAGAGGATGCCTTCAGTTTGAATATGAGGGCGAAAATGAAGCAGGCAGTTGGGTTGTCTGCCTGTTGGAGAGGCCAGTGGACTCATTTGTCATGGCTGTCTGAGCTGGCAGGACTGTGAGTTCAGATGGGTTTGCGTTGTTGAGGGAAACGGGGTTTTGGTTGCAGTAAGTGCAGCTACAGGGAGAGATTTTGTATGGCAGTCTGATGCACGCGTCTTTCTGCAGTGACCTGCCCTTAAAGGAGAGAGGAGAAAACGTAGATGAGAGCAGAGAGAGAGGCAGTTGTGGCGGTCCTGCTCTTTAGCTCATTCCGTCCCTATTCTTCTCCCCGCTTTAAACACCAGCGCTATATTTAGCTGCGCATCGCTCTTCCTGTGCTTAAGTTGTCACCGTTTCCCCGAAGTTTGAGGGGAGAGAAGGAAACAAAATAACTGACAGAGTATGATGTCTTCAAGTAGAAGGAACATTTTCTTGCCCTTTTTTTTGCAGATTTAGCTTCTAACTGAAGTAATTTGACATGGTAAGAGTAGGTATCACAAGCCATGCTGGACTGAAAGCCTTTAAAGCAGAAGAAGTGTAGGATACCACGAGAGTCTGTTGTAGGTCTCCCTCCTGAAAAAGGGGATCTTTGGTGACAATGCAAATTCTTGTTTTTGAAGAAGGGACACATATATGGACAACTTTAATGTCTGTGTATTCGTTTGCTCTTCAGAGTCTGCGTGGTTTTAATGATAATCCTCTCCAAATGGGGATAGTCACTCTCTTGACTAGCCTATAGAAGGCAAGTAAATATCCTGTAGCTGTCCCATTCTTAAATCAACGTGCTGGTCTTAGTTTGCGTAAGCTAACTATATTTGGATGCAAGTATAGTTGCAGATGTTCCTGTTATACTGTGCAGTGTAACACCTAGCATGCAGTGCTCATCACCAGTAGATCACAAAGCACTTGATAGAGGAAGTGCCCGTTGCTTCCCGGTTTTCCAAACAGTGAAACTGATAAAGAGGAACGAAAGGAGTCTTGCGCAGGTAGATGGAAGAAGGTTTGCAAAGCTCCTAGCTTTCGCTCTGTCCCATTCTTGCTGCTACAAAAGAATGGTGCTGGAAGCTGAGACGATGTTGTTGTGTGTTCATGTGTGCAACTGAGGCTTTAGTCAGAATCAGCCTTGAAAGCATTTCTTATCCAGAAGGTGAATTCTGGAGAATTACATGGGACAGTGCGGACACACAGCTCATTTGTCTCTCTCTTTCTCTCTCCCTCTCCTCGCAGATACTGCACAGCAACAGGAAACTCTCATGAACAGGGAAGACCAATGTTCCAAGCCATTTCAGGGGTAAGCTTGTGTTATTCATTAGTTCACTTTTTAGGAAAATATAGCTGTTTGTGATCAGAAAATTCTGCACTCTTCACTTACATTACTTACTCAGCAATATATACATTTGTCTTGGTTGTTTTTCTAGGGAAAGCAGGAGAGTTATTTGATGAGTAGTGCTATAACAAAGCGTTTCCCACTGCCATTAATTTTGCTTCTGGACACTACACTATATGACTTTTATTCTTCCTTTTTAATGTGTTGGGAATAGCTTCAATTTCTTTAGTGCATGGACTTATTTGACCTGCAAAGCTGGACTGCAGTATCTTTAGTCTTCTCTTGTTTTATGAGATAGGAAGTACATCTCTTTGACTTTCATCTCTGATCAGGACTTAGATAAAAAATAAAATTTTACTCATAGAAATCAGACATATTAATCTCAATCTCAATTTGATACCTACATATGGAGGCTTTGCTGGGGTTCTTAGTGCTAGTCCAAGCCCAACTAACTTTCTGCCTCTCTTGCCTCCATTTAGTTTTGAGTGCAGCACTACATGGGGGCACAGTTAGAATGCAGTCATCAATAAAAAGTAACTTAGGAGTTTGCTGGTTAGATGTGTGTACAAAAACCCTTCCAGTTTTATACATGAGCAAGATTTTCTGCACTATCCTGTAGCAAACAATTCTGTGCTTGTTTGCTAGCTTAATGTCCTTTTGTCCAACAGAAACAATATGGAGCTGAAATCTCAGAAGGGGTGTTATCCCAGTTACATCTGCCACCTGTTCTGTCGAGAAAATCACCTGCCTTTGGTGCGGAAGAAGAGAAATTCCCAAGCTCAGAAAAAGCAGTAGAACACTTTGCTCCACTCACAGAGGTATCGTAGCTGACAGTCTGCTAGACAAAACAGAAGGCTGTGAAACAGCTGTAAGGAACCCCATTTATTATAGGTGGTTCTTCAGGCTTTTGGAGATAAGAACTTGCATTTAACCTGTTACCAAGTGTCTGCAGCTGTGACTTCACACTCCAAGGGTCAGCAGTAGAGCTGGTTTTAGGGATTTATTGTGCTAAACACTCCTGCAGTTGTACTAACCTAAGGGTTTGTGGGCCTTCTGCAACCAGGACAAAAATTAGTCCAGGCTTAATAACAGTCTCCTAGAGCAGTGCTAACCTGATTCATACAGTTGCCTTGGTTCTGCCTCTTAGCCTGTCCTACCATGGTGATAGAACCTAAAAAAAAAAAAGCTTTTGCTGATACACAGTGTTGCATTGCGTGCAGGGGACCAGAGCATCTTGTGTATATCCTCAGGATCTCACAGAGTCCTGTGTGCGCACTGGGGCGTGGTTCCACTGCATGTAACAGCGGTCACAGGAGTTAACTCAGTTATGCTGTTCAACAGGGAGTGTGAGTTGCCCTACTTGTATGAAATTTGGCTTTTGTTCTTTGGAGTTGCAGTTGTGCTGGTCTAATTAAGCACCTCCTTTTTTTTCCCGTTGAGGATTGACTTGGAAGGGGCTAGCAAATAAAGAGTTTACAAAGTCTGTAGAGTGATGCTCAGTACAAGGAAAACCAGGTGATTTTTCTTACTGTGCTAGCCTGGACTCAACGAAGAAGGAGATGCTATTGCAGATCAGATTATTTTATACTAACTGACCTAGTGGCCTATTTGCATTCCTTAAGCAGACTTAGATGGAAGCATCCAAATTATAACCAATTGCATGCACGACCTGGACTCTTAATTGCCTGACTCCAGTGTACTTGCCTCAGTTTCCCCCTTTTCTGTTACTTCAGTTCCCTTTGAAGTCCCCCGCCTTCAAATTCTTTCAGGCTCCTGACTTAGCTGCCTTGGTATGGAGAATGCCTTCTGTGGTTGGTGTAAACTTCAGTATTGCGAGGGCTGCAGCATCACATGGGAAAGGTGTTTGCTGTACTTCTGTTCATTTTTCGTCTGCTTTAGTGTGTTTGCCAGTCCACGTGTGTTATATCCGTTTCCTGTGTGAAAACAAATTGAAGCAAACCTGTGCTCTAAAGTGCAAAGTTAGAATGCGGAAACAGACAGACAAACAGAAAAGTGCTACTGCTAACTTAGCAAAAAACTGGCAAAGCCAGTTGCTTGGTCACCTGAGCTTGATTTACAGGCCTTGTTTCAGTTGAAAGCTGCCCACAGGTTAGTGTGCTCAATGCTCTGTTTCACAAGTCCTTCCCCATTTAATTGTTCATTTCAGGCCATGGAGAGAGAGGTCATTGCCGCATTTGACAGCGGTGAGCCAGATGAGATCATGAGCAGTGCCTTCAAACTAAAGGTCACTCGTGAGGACATCCACACACTGAGGAACCTTTGCTGGCTAAATGATGAGGTAAAACTAGCTGCAGCACAATGATAATTTTAGTTCAACATTTGTTTAAAAATACCCCTTTGCTGTGTACAGAAGTCTTTTCAAAGCTATTCCATGACCTCCACTGCAGAGCCTAGAAATACCTGTACCGTTCTTATTTTAGGTACTTAAGGTTCTTGTGTTTCTGGAAGTTCCTTTTCTTCTTGTATTATGCAGCTTCCAGGAGTTAGTCTAGGTTATTGGTGTGGGTGGCAAGTGTTCTTACCAAACTGCAAAAGTAATGAAGTGCAAAATTCTCAGAACAGAAGCTGACAGTTGAGGCTGAGTTCTCTCAGCTGCGTACTTGAGGGTGGCCAGCAGAGATGCGTTGCTGGGTTTTTTGTTTGGTAAGCTAGTGTCTTATTTTACATTGCAAATTTACTCTTTATGGTACAGGTCATTAATTTCTACATGAATCTTCTGATGGAAAGAAATAAGAAGGAAGGATATCCAGCAGTCCATGCTTTTAGTACTTTCTTTTATCCCAAACTAATTTCTGGGGGCTACAGAGCAGTAACAAGATGGACCAAAGATGTGGATCTCTTCAAGCAGGACCTCATCTTGGTGCCCATTCATTTGAGAGTGCACTGGACACTAGTGGTGAGTCAAACTGGTTTTTTTTTAGAATTGGATGGGGAAGAAAAAAAATAGCAAGAAAAGTCATTTAGGTTTTGTTGTGTGTGTGCAGCACAAGGTTGTGCTTTGCCTAACAATCACCTTTTAATAACAGGTCATAGATGTCCGAAAGAAGACTATCAAATACTTTGACTCAATGGGACAAAAACAGGACAAGATCTGTAAAACTTTGTTGTAAGTAACTGCTCAGTCACTGCTTTTATATTGTGAATTATGAGAAGGTTTTTGAATTTTGTCCCAGTAACACGACTGCAAGTTTTCACATTTCTTGTAAATAAGGAAACAGAAATCTTTGATTCACTTGCTGCGAGTTGTGCGGCACTGACTATTTATCTAGTCTCACATCACCCCCTCCCCCCAGGGTCTTGGATGCCTGGATTCTGCCCCCTTCCTGCTATACACACAGACAAAGTGTCACTGTCAAATACATGATAGCCCCGTGGCACACGTGTACTGACTTTGTTAGTAACCAATAAAACTGGGCTATTGACGAGAGGGAAGAATTTCGGGGAAGTGTTTCAAAATACCAACCTGACTGTAAAAGGATTACAGTCTTCCAAGAGCTTTTTAACTCCCTCTTCTTTAAGGAATTTCAGATTGCAGCCCAGTAATGTTGGTGTCCTAGGGTATATACACTGCTATTTGTGATCAGCTACACATATACTTTTACACTTTATTGCTTAGCTCTTTCATCCTTTTCTTGTATTTTGACCTTTTTCCCCCCCGACTTGTAATGTTGGTCCTTTCTACTGTAGTGAGCTATGTAACTTGCTCAGTTTGTCTATGCCTCTTCTATTCTGTTCAGTATTTTAAACAAAGCCGCTGTATTTCCCTCCAGCCTACCCCATCAGGCTACCCTCATGTCCTTTCTGTCTGTTATTTGTATTTCTGACATTCTCATTCAAGACAGATGTCTTGTAGCAAGCTTTTCCAGATGTATCAGCTGGCATGGCATACGTGGCTTTTCATGTTGTGCAAGCCAGCGTCCTTGGGTGTCTTTGCCACTGATGCGAAAGCAGTGAAAACCCTTAATCCAGTAGCTTTGTAGACCAAGAGAAGGTATTGGTCTTCAGCCCCAAAGTTTTTAGTCCAGTGCTCTCCTGAACAGTTAACAGCAGATGCCTGGGAAAGGGTATAAGAACAGGTCTGCACTGAACAATTTTTTCCTCGAGAGTATTGTTGCAGCAGCTGGTGGCCTGGGAACTTCATCAGGCAGAGGCATTAGCCTAGAAGCTTTTGAATTTGTTCTTCCGGAGGTGCACCCAGTATGTGGGATGAAGGCACTCGGCGGAATTATGGCATTGTGGTTCCTTGCTTGGCTCTTCTGTTCCTCCTCTGATAACATGTGATTTGGGGTTTTATGACCTCTGCTAAGCAATGAGCTTGTGCTTTTGTGGAAGTCTCTGTTGGAATTGTTGGTCTCGTTCCTGACCATTAGCTCGCAGCCTCTCACTGTGTTTATAAATTTAAGATTTGGATGTTTCCTCCAAGTGCCTTAAATCAGCTGCTGTGAGGATCCTCTGACATTTTACTGTCCTGCCATCATCTTGCTGTGATCCTTCAGCAGCTTGTTTTCTGTTGGCCTTAATTATGGAGATGAAGAGTGATTTTTGTTTTGTTTTAAACAGCCAATACCTGCAAGAAGAAAGCCGGGCAAAAAGAAACTTGGAGCTGACTTCTTCAGAGTGGACTCTTTACAGCATGGAGTCACATGTACGTGAGCACTGCTTGTATTTGAAATGTGAACTATAACTCCTCGTCGTGAAGGTCTTAACGCTTTCTAATAAGTCCAAGCCCTTAGAGGGCGGCCATAAGCATCTCGTGTTCTTATGGTACCACATCAGACTGCAAGTGGACCAGGAAATCACGGTGGGATGAAATCTTTAAGCAGCATCTCTCCTTGCTTGCTGAATACTTTCTCTTTTTTTTTTTTTTTAATTAGTCTGCCACATTAAGGTGAGTCTGACTTTGCCCCAATTTCACAAATCAAATTTAAAAATCTGTTTAACTGTTGTCGGAGAATGTGGGCTTCTTGTTTGGAGCACAGATCCTGGTGTGTGACAAAGCAAAGGGTTGAGCTGATGCTTCTCAGCAAGTTAATAGTAAAAAACAGTATCTAAAGACTCGATGTAAGAAGCACGACACTGTGCGAACCTGAAGACGCCTCGCAGGGAGGAAGGCTGCTGTCCCTTATCAGCCTGCCGAGAATTTGGATGGTAACATCCAAGCAGGGGCAGCAGAGGGGAGGGATGGTGTGCAGTTGTTTGGGTCTGTTCCTTGTGTTCGGGAGCGGTAAATGGATTATGCAAGTAGGTTCATGAGTGTCTGGTTAGCGTATTGGTGGTGTGGGTTGTGGGAGCTGATTCCAAATTACTTTTGAGATAGAGGAAAATTCTCCCTTTTCTTTGCATTCATTAGGAAATCCCTCAGCAATCGAATGGAAGCGACTGCGGGGTTTTTATGTGCAAATTCGCAGATTTTATCTCCAGAGACAAACCGATAACCTTTACAGAGGTGAGTGAAGGTTATAAACAGCTCCAGACTTTTTCCACACAGATACAAGCACGAGCGAAGTTACACAGCAGCCGTGAATTGTGTCTGGGGCAGGGGCTGAGGCTTAGTACCTCTCTCCTGTTTTGGTGCATGCTTGCTGGGTTGGACCTTCAAAGCGGCCTCAGCAGGGCAGAGCTGTTCTTCATCCTTATGCCTGGTGTCTGCTTCCTGGTGGAATCGGTGAGATTCCTCTTGGGCAAGACACTGCAGCCGGTGGGTTTGTGACACCTGGCCTTTGTATCTTTTGGAGAAGTGGGTTTCGCCCTTTGACCGGTTAAGACACTGGTTATTTTCCAAGCAGTGGTCTTTAATAATAGTGCTTGTAAGCTGTTGTGTAGTCAGGTAAATCTGGGTTTGGGTTGTCATGTCACCCCCTTGGGAGCTGTGTGGGTGAAACCCGTGTTGTACCCAAATGGCAAGTGTTGACAGTTCTTAGAAGGAACTTCATATCAAAGAATGAACTGGGTGTTTATGCGTATTTTCTGCCTCTTTCTGCCATGACTTTGTATTTAATGGATTTTTCTTTTCTTTTCAGAAACACATGCCTGACTTCCGCAGGAGGATGGTGTGGGAAATAATCCATCAGCAGCTACTGTGAGACATGCACTATCAAAGTAACACTGTGATCACCTTGGGGTGACTGACTCTTATTTTATTTACTTTTCTAATACCTTATTTGAAAAGGCATCAGGAACACAAATTTTCTTCTTTAAGCTATGAAGTAGCGGTTACGTTTGGGGTTTTTTGGTTTTTTTTCCCTCCCCCTGATGGGGAGATTGATGCTCGTACCTCGCAGCACACGTGGCCACGTTACAGACAAATGGGAGCCTCATCTGTGGTGGTGCTAACAGTTGTGTTAGCTGAACTTACCTTCCCAAGGACAATGTGCTTAGCTACTGTTTCCTCAAAGAGTTTTCTTCTGTTTCTGGAATATCTATGATCTACTTGATGCCTAAAGCTGGATTTGTGATGACCACAGAAAGAAAGCATTTAACCATCTTTTGATTTGTAACAAATCCGTAGTGAAGCCCCAGTAGTTGGGCTTGGTTTGTTGTTTTGTTTTGTTTTATTTTCTGTCTCCAGGGAGTTACCTAATGTGAAAAGAGAAGTATTTATTTCTTTTTATTAAAATAAATATCTAAATTATATAAAGAGCCTTACTGTAATGAAACTACCTGGTAAATGAAATAGTGATTTTCTTTAACTGAAAAACAGTTTGACATATCAATGTGTTGTTTCGCTCACTTACAATTGACAAGGTCGAAGCCTCTAACAAGGATGAGTATCAGAGCACAAAGGCCTTTAAGCGATTGTCACAAAATCCTGAAGGGACAGTCAGGATGTTGTTCAGCAGCGAGATGAGCAAGCACAATCCCGGTAATACCAAAGTGGGAGGTTTCTCTTTGGGGTAGCTCACTTGACTTCTCAGTAAGAAAAAACAAAGTCTGTGTGCGCAGCTTGGTGAACACGGGCTGTCTGGTGCCGGAACCGGTTTCAGGCTAATACGGGTGCCTCCACGCAGTACTGCAGCGTGCTGCTGTGGAAGTGGAAGAAAATGTGGTAGCAGTGACATGCCAGGCTCTGGACATGTGTCCTGCCAGGTTCAGTGGTGTTGCTGCCTTACTGCCCCTCTGCTTCCACATGTCTGCCGAATGGAGAGCTTGTGTGAATCCTCACTTTGTTACCGTCAGACCGAGCTTAATTACTTTAAACATGGTGTTTCCCACTTTCTTTTAGTTTGTTGTTTTGTTTTGTTTTCCCCTTTTGGTTACACTCCGGAAATGGAATGGGATTTCAGGTCTTTCATTTACCATTGCAGAGGAAAGATTGCCCCGTAACTGGATCAAATGCTTGTATAAATAACCATGTCAGATTGTTCCTGTAATGACACAGTTACCGTAATGTGACGCGAGTCCTGCCTGGTGACAAGGTATCATCTCTCCTCAGCTCTTGGGGGAATAGATGGTGATTTTGGGGGGCATCCCCTCTGTCTGTGTGGGTACAGCCAGCCTTCACGGTACTGCTCCTTGCCTGGAGATCTGCTCTCCTGGGAAGGCTGATGCGGTGGTTTAGCTGTGCTGCGGGTCAGCAGCTTTCAAACCGATTAGCTTAATCCGTCACAAAATCAGAGGAGATTCTCCAAAGAGAGAACTATTACAAAGGCAGTCTGTCATGTTTTGTCCTTACATGAGATACTTAATCTTCCCTGAATCCCTGAAGACTTGAAGATTTTAGCTGTTTGTTAACGCTAGGACCTAGTAACTGCAAGCTTGAAGTGTCCTTTCTGCTTTGCTTCAGTTCTTGCCGTTTGGGGGATGCAATTTGGAGGCTGACCCTGCAGCCTGCTGATTGTAAAAGCAGAATTTTTTTTTGGGGGGGGGGAGGAAAAACAACAATAAAACAGCAGCTGTGGAGGGGCTGGTGGTGTAAGGGTGCTTTCCAGGTCCTCTTTATGCGTGCCCCTTAAGCCGGGGGGGGGCTTGGACGTTGG